TTCGATTTCAACGAACCATAAATATACTGCGGATCGAAACGAACACGTATCCACGAATAAATTGCTCAGCTATCGAGTGATTCTCGCAGCCAATCTCCAAACACGCGTCCCCACGAAAATACATACGGTCGACGAAACGATAACCGCAGACTTGACAAACGCGTCTGACAATAAGATAATCTCGGGAAGCAGTAGCATCTTTCTCTCGCGTTTCAACGCGAATAAAGATTAGATATCTGCTTAAACAGTACACGATGAATCGGTCTGGGTAATGGTCTTGGAGCGTTCGACCACGTTTCTTTCGAATTCTAGGCAGTCCAGAGATGGACGAAATTCTTATCTACTCCTAGCATAGAAACGAAAACTTTTCGATGTTCGTTTCTTAAAGGTTGCGTCTGTGTGAGTTGGATTTTTAACGATTAAAATTGTCACGTGTTTAATTAGAAATGTTTTTTAAAAAGCCTTCGCGATACCTTCCGCTAAAAACGTCCGTAGTTAAAATATTGAAACGTCAGAAGGTAACGTTAAATAAAGGCTTCGCGATTTCAAATCTAAAAGTTCTGTGGATTTGCGAAATAAGAAGCCGACCAGTCATCTTGAGGAACAGTTTGAACGACAAGAAATGCATACTAAGAATCGTATTACTACGCTACATGTATAATTCACTACAATTAAAGTATTCATTTTTGTTATTAAATGTAAGGAATTTCGTTAACTAATCATAAGTAATTATTTGCGTAAATTGTATATGACTCGCATATGTGATTTATAGAGGTGGAAAAAATGTAATTCGCAGTAGTTGTTCGCAGTAACTAATGGCATGGATGCTGATGTAACAATAAATAAATAAATAAATAAATAATAATAATAATAAGTTGTATGTAACTAGACATCAACTGACATTCTGTCGTGCATGATGCTTCAATTTCAACCATATTTTATCGACCACTTATTTTTTATCCTCTGCCAGTAAATTACAATCCTTGATATACGCATTTTATATAGTTCGAATAGTCTTCGAATTTCTACAAATCTAAATTCTTCTCATTCTTTCGAAAGAATAATTAAGATTTGCTCCGTTTTGAACAGTTTACACTCGGAATACGTTTTCTTTGTTTTTATTCTTAGTTCGAATTTACAAAATATTTTTGTGCCCGGTACGTCTGCGTTCCACCCTTCGAAACTTCGATAATATCGAAATCTGCATTTGTTGGTCCTTCGCTCTCTACAAATGTCGGATATCCCTTGACCCTTGATCCGTTGTTCGATCGTACATCCTCCTTTTCAAGTTCGCGTTCCATACGAATTACAAATTTACGAATTCCTACTGCGTAGGCTCGTTAAAAATCGCTTGGATTCGTACGAAATTACATTTCGCGTTAAATAACAGCGTAAACAATGGGAAGAAATCGTTAAACGGACTTTCTGCTAGTGATCTATTATTCGAATAAAATTCTGCCCATTCCCGGGATGGTCGCGTCGTTTTTCATTCCGTTCTCATCGTCAGTCGGTCTAGTCTCGGCGCTTCTACGGTTCTCTCGAGGCACGCCCAAGATAATCACTCCAGGAGGATAAAAGGATCTCTCTGCCCTTCCCTCTGGCAATGCCGGACCCTTACAAGGAGGCCACATGACGTGTTACGCACCGATTTTATCGAGGACTCGTAGCTAAACAGAGAACCGACGAAATACTTAACCACCCCTCGGCCGTTTGCTCGGATACTCGACAGTTTTCAACATATTAAGCAGGAGAAATCATAATTCGCAGCTGCTACATCGGATATTTATGATATTACTACTCTCTAGAGCGAAACGGCTGGCCCGGACACATTTCTACACCAAGCGAAATAGAATCGTCTCGTCTGTACGGTTAATATAGTTATTGTTTAAACGTGCGTACATATTGTAACTATTGTTTAACTCGAATGAAAATCAAGTTAACCGACATAACCGCGAGTCTAACTATCAGAAAGTTCGGTTTAATCCCGTCAAAGTGAGACGGTATTTAGATAATGTTGATACAAATGAATAATAAAAGGATTGCAATGAAGAGTGTGAAATATACAGAAATTGTTTGCTTTAATCACAGCTTATATCCTTGCGTTTGTCACGCATGACAAGTATACGAATAGAATAACATAGGCCCTTTTTCCAGACACCAATTTTATTATCGTTTTCCGCGTGTATATTAAAATAAAATACCGAACAACGAATATACTCGTACTATTCTATTATTTACAGTTAAAGAATCGTATTCAAGAGACTAACGTTACTGTTTCCAATGATTAACTCTCCTGAATGTATTAATATTATATTAATAATTACTTTATAGATCTGAGTGTAAGGCGAGTGTTGCAATTGCATATATTTACCCATGAACGAAGATCACGTTTGAATTTAAAACCTCGGACGTTGACAATGTAATACCGAAGAATGTTTTTGTACCAACTTTTAAAGGATACCGAAAAATGTAAAACGAATAGTCATGATTGCTTTTGTTTAAACGACGATCGAACTTCGTCGAAATTATTATTGGTATCTTGCATCGGCACGCAAGTTTTGTATCAACCGCGACGATTATACTGTGTAATTAATCGCTTCTCAGTAATTCTTTCGCAACACGCGTTGCGAAACTAACGGAAAATGAGGAAAATTTCTTTACGTTATTTTAACGATAACGTACACATATTCATCGTTTCGTACACGCATACACGCGACAAATTTTCAAACCTTTTCTTTTTCAAATAAAGCGTCGTACGAAACAACGTTATTCTACATTTTCGATTCAATTTTTCCACGTAGAATCATCCCCCTCGTTCGCTTAGAAAACCAGTTACGGGACACCCTGTATATTCGGAATAACGACGAAACTAAAATATTCCGTATTTCCAGGGAAAAGATAAATTTGTAAACATTTTATATTTATCTAGAGAGCATGTGCGATACGCATTGTTTATTCTACGATATAACTATGTTATATCTTCTTTCTGCGAAACGGTACGACTGTCGACGAAACAAGTACGTTACGCATAAATATACGCATGAAGAAAGCTCTATTTTTGTAAACAACACAATTATTTGAAAGTGACGTTTCTATTCTATTTTATTCGTTCGAATTTTCCTCCGGATGATGATTGACGTATGAAAAGGATCGTTCGAAGGAAATCGATCGCAAAAAAGGAAAGAAAATACACCGATCCTATCGCGAACAGGCGAAATACGAGTGATGATTGTACTCGAGAATTCGTGACCGATGAGTGAGAAAACTGATCGAAGTCGTTGACATTATCTCGTTTGTAATTTGTACAAAATTTACGCATACACGTCATATATGAGACGTTCATTGCACAAATCGGTTAACTCCGTAAGACAAACAGTTGAGAAATGCGATGAAATAATATACATCGTTTTTTAACATTCCCTTTATAATATACTTTATGATATAAAATTCGAAATAAATATCGAAAAAATGTTCTCTCCTTTTCGGGAAAGTTATTATAAATATAAAAACTTATGACTGTATACCGAGTGCTTTGACACGTTCAAAAAATGGAGTTGATCGATTTGTCCAGTGAACGGTTCGTGTTATGCGATCCAATACCTACAACTCTACTTATTCTTGCAACTCCGTAATTCACGAGTTCATTCCGTTTGTAGCGATTTCCACAAATGATTTACAAACCGTCCGTCACTCCGTAACAGAGTATAATGCAGCGTAAATACATCGCGTACATTTTTCGTTATCTAACGAATTTGAATAAATACATTATTCAATGAAATACCGTCGCTGTATATTAACCGTATTCTTGTTTATTACTGAACAATGCCGAAAGCTGCATAACGACAGGAACTTACATCGTGTACCACGAGAATGCCAAGTATCCATATTTCTTTTTAGCGTCGGTGCAGGTAACAATCTTACATTGGCAAAGGCAACCATTTCTTTTATTTAAGCCTCTTTCTTTTATCGCGCCCCATTGGCTGTCTGGAAGACGGGTCTGTGTCACAGATTTTTAATTTTGCGGAAATGAGGAAAAACTACTAATGTCATTTTTGTAAACGGCACAATTATTTGAATGTGACGTTTTTATTCTATCTTATTCATTCAAATTTTCATTGATTATCGATGTCCTAAGCGTCTAATGCAGCATGCAGTCAGCGTAAAAAGTATTCGTACAGCAACTAATTTAAAACGAAATTGCTAAGAAAGGAAATAAGAGGTTAACATTAAATAAACTTTCATTTACGCAAATTGTACTGTAAAAAGTATGTAAGAATGTTGGTCAATTATTTGCTTCCCCTAAAATTTATGTCCAGGCTAAACCCTTGAACCTAGAAAGCTGATATTTCGCACACAGGTTTCCTTTATGATGTATAGGAATATACAAGGAATAAGAAAGGATATATTATATAGGGGTTGCAACGTTTGTACGAGGAATATTTTACTCGCGGTCGGATTTGCTGGAAACTTGGGTTCAATGGTCTTTGATACAATTAATCAAACACATATTTCGGCAATTTAAAAAATTCAACCCTTAATGGGGTGAAAAAGGCCTGGAAAGTTTGTATCAACGCCACAGCCAAACCCTTGAACCGTGAAAGCTAAAATTTTGCACAGAAGTTTCCTTTAAGATGCATACAAGAAATAAGAAAGGATATTTTAAAAATCAACCTCCAAGGGGTTAAAAAGGGGTCGCAAAGTTTGTATGTACGAAATACACTAATATCAGTAGTTAAATCATTTCAAAGCTTGTTCGAATTGTACCGGTATAATTTATTAACTATTATACTAACGTAGTATGCTACTATTGTATATAATATTGTTAATATCTTGTGTTTCCACCCTTTGCTTTAATCACAGCTTACATCCTTGCGTTTGTCACGCATGGTAAGTATACGAATAGAATAACATAGATCCTTTTTCCAGACACCAATTTTATTATCGTTTCCCGCGTACGTCTACTTTCGCGCGCAGTTAAAAGTGAGTAAGTCTCAGCTTACCCGCCTTGCAGACGTCCAGGTCTAGATCACCGGTGATCCCGTGCGGGAACTTGTTACTCAGAAGCTCCTCCGCGGTGAACTTGCGTCTATGCCTTTCGAAGTCTCTGTCCCTGGAATCGCCGTCAACCGCCCTGCAATCGGCGCACCTCGTCGCCAAGCAGAGAATCGAAATCACCTCCAGCAGTCTCATCTCGAATAGGTCGATCGAAACCAACAGACAGCCGATGATCGCCTACCGTATCGGCTAGGCCATAAGAGACCCGATCGTACTACCGTCGACACCGATGCATTTGCCACTGATTTCTCTTTCACCCTCTTCGTTCACCTACCACGAGCCCGGTCCTCCACCGAAACTCGAAACCACCACACGTGAACGCGGGAAAAACTGATCTCGACGCGGATGAGAACCACCGATATCACATCGTCCGCGTCTAGGAGATATCCTTCGTCTCGAGACCCACGAAAACCCTCGCCAGACCGAGAGGACGGTGTCCTTGGCAGAAAAATTGATTGGAAACGTCGCGAACGGGACGTTGAAAGAGCGATTCTGCGATTCCAACCCCTTGCACAACCACCGACCTACCGGCGACGACAACAACGACGATAACAAAGAACGTATACTCGAGATCGGTCCCGGAGAAACGCGGAAACGATCTATGGGATCAACGGCGTACCGCGAACGACCGAGACGGACGCGTAATCGTGACTAAAGAGGTTCGGGCCGCGCGGTCCGATCGGGCAGCTTCAGCGGCGTTCGTCATCGGCGGCGATAAGGAGCGATCTCGCGAGAAGAAGGCAGTCGGGAGCCGCGGTCAAAGTTCGCGTCACAGATTAGAGGACGGATTGCTGGTCGACGATCGTCCTTGCGTGGAGAACGTGGAGAACAGACTGATCGTCCCTCGCGGCCGACACGACGCGTCGTTCGAAAGCGCGCGCTCGTACTGGCATTAAGTCGAGAGAGGGACAGAGGAGGAGGAGGGATATGTATGTATATCTCTAGAGGGGATGCCGGGAACAACCAGTCTCCTCCCTCGCAAACCTGCACGGCACGAGGGTGGCCGAGACACTGACCGAGCTTCCGCGGCTCGGGCACGACCGAACCCTAAAGAATCCTCTCGCCTACCCGAATAACGCTCACCGCCCTCTCCTCGCTCTTCCGCACAGTGCTTGGAAACAGTCACGGGCGAAACCCTAGGTTTCTTATAAATCTGAAATTTGCCGATACGCTTGTCTCGTTTCCTCTTTTCAACATTTCCCAGAGAAAGAAACGAGACAAATTCGAAGCCTAGGGTTTTGCCCATCTTTGCTTCAAACATGGAAAATACCTTGAATTATACGTCAAAGTTTCGCGAATCCGTTATTATTAGACTGCGGATCTTGATGGATCTATAGGAAATTTGAACGTCTAAGAAACTACGAGATGCAAGCGATATGCAAGAATATAAAAAATATTTGAAAGTAAAGTTCATGTTACAATACTCGCCGAATAAAATTAATTTCTATTTAAGATTTTATTTCGCATAAAGATCCGCAGTTACTATATTCTCCTAGCCAAATTAACTGTATTCACCTCTACGAATGGTTCTTTTCATCATTTCATACGACACAGTCCCTAACCACCGAATTAGAACCATTTCTCGCGTTTTCATAATCTGTTTACGAGGAATTCATCGTGGAGTAGAATCCGAAGCGGCGCGAATTCGCGTCAGCGATCGCGAACGTGTTGATAATCAAGCTCCTGGCGTAAAGAGTAATACCGGACAGGTAACACGAGAGAAAATATCAGAAACGTTACGATTTTGCCAACTCGAGCCTATCTCTGTCGTGCCACGAACGAATCCTGTTGTGCGCGGGCAGCGCAAGTTAAAGTCTTCCGAAGGACGATGGCGCATCAGCGTCGCTTTCGGCTGTATATTGATAAATATTCCAAAAGTGGCGGGGTCCGTCGCCCACGGAAACACGTGTTTCATATCCCACGCAGCGACCTGTATCGGTCAAGTATCGGATTACTGTCATGGGATCACCCTTTAGGAACCCTGCCTGTCTATCCGAGGGTAAGTGCATGTCGACGCTGCACAGAAACCCTCCACGAGAATAATCTCTGAAGGCACGGGGGGGAAATACCGAATTCTCTGTTAACATCACGCACGAACGAACAGTCCCCGTTACACGACAGACCGATGGAAAACAAACGAACGATGGTGCCGAAACGAATCATGCCCATTTGAATTTCAACCCCGGCTCCGTCTAACGCGGGGTGCGTCCGTGTTCGGTCGTGCCAGCGCATTTTGCTAATCGTATCGACGAAAAAGTGCCGAACGAGTGTAGTATCCGCGCCTCCCGTACCCCCAACAGTATGGAGTCAAATAAGAACACGACACGTAGGGTACGGGATTGGTCGCGCAGGTAAAGCGGTCGACCGTGGATCCACGGATCGTGGATTCGTATCCCCGTGCCTTATTTTTCGTATAGACTCCTACACGAATGCAGACGCGAAAATGCTTCCTTGGCGAATCGAAGCCTTACGAAGATTTAGTTATTGTCAGAGAAAGTGCTCGAGGTGGGTTTCTTCGGAATGGAGTGTAACGTTCGACTATACGTGGAAACAAGTATTTGCCAATTTTGGTATCAGGTCGTTCCAAAAGTTTCTTTCGTTTTATTTATAATTGATACATACACAATATTTGATGTTTCACGTTGCATTACTGAATTGCGTATGATTCGTTTCGCTTCGTTGCTGTTGCAGCATTAACGTAATTGAATGTAATTCACGAAAGAGACTTATGGGACAACCTAATATTTACCAGGCTGGCCAATTTAAGGGATTTATTTGGTAATTCAACGGAACATTCGCAATCAATTTTGCGGGAAGAATTTTAAGTAATTATTATTTCGGAAGGTAAGCGTATTAAAGGGTAGATACCCCAAAGGTAATTCCTAGAATGTTTAACTTACGAATGAATGGCGTTCAAATGTTTGTGAGTTTGTCGAGTAGGTCGAGTCGGATTGAAACTTCTTGTCGCATCTGTATGCTTCCCTCAAGATAACAAAAACAAAATATACATGTCGAATCGAGTAACCTCCTCCTTTTTCGAAGTCGGTTGAAAAGAATATGCGATCCGCTATGGAAGAAATAATAATTGTACTCGAATTTGATTAGTAAGAACATTTTGAAATAAATCTCGTGGAAAAAAAGAGTAACGTTTCGTAGATCTTCATCGAGTCCGGTCAACACATCGAAAGAAATTCTCTTACAGAAAAGACTAATTGAATAAAACGATCGGGCATATTAATTAATTCCTTGTAATATAAAAATCCAATGTTGTTTCTTTTAATTAGTATTAGTCGAAATAGAACGTAACCCACATTCGTGTCTCGCGGTAATAACTAACAATAATTCATCAAGAACAGCTCAGAGCTAGCGAACCGATGAACAAACCGTCGTACCCTTGAGAACTATTTAATTAAACACACTAGGATGTTAATTAACCTTATTAAAACGGCTCACTTGGTCACAGCGAAGCGTGAAATTATACGCTAAATTTTTATCGAAGATGGAATCGAATTTCTCTCCAAATTCTCATCGAACAAGCTCGCCCATCTCGATATCGGTTATTTGATTCTGCGCAACACAGATCGTTATTCTCCGAAAACAAACAAACAATTTCAACTTCAACCGTGCAACTGACACTCGCCGCTCTCGAACGGAAACAATAATAAAATAACAACACGAGTGGACAAAGGATCGCGCGCACGATACAGTTTTAAATATTTAATTTAATCGCGCTCGAAACACAATGCAACGAAACGCGAAACGTTGCGCGAAAGTTACAGCGAATCGTAAGGGTTCGAAATAAATGCCCGCCCGCGGGATTCCGGTGCTATCCGCTCCATAACGAGCCACTGTACGAGCGGAAACTTCTCTACAATTAGCGTGAAATATTTTAAACGTCCGCCTGTACCTCCACAATTCTGTTAGATCCCACCCTCCGTCGAGGGAGGAAGCGAAAACGCCAGTTACAATTAAGGGGGTAGTTCGGTTTAAAGAGCGGGAATTTAAGCTTTCTTTCCCGTACGAATTTCAAAAGGTACCATCCAATTTATCGATTTCAAATTTTCCGTACGTACGCACGCAAACATTAAGTATTTACATACATTTTCGTAAATATTAACGACCGTCCATTCTCGCGTCACATACTATCGCGCGGAAGGATGGAAATTCGAGCGACCAACGGCGTTTCTGCTTTAAGCGCCTGTAATCTTTCAATGAAAAAGTACAGCAGCAATAAACCGTGATAAATCGCCGCATTTCTAAAGAAAAGTTCGATTTTTTGCGGGACCCTTTGTTGCCCGACAACCATAGAAGTTTTGAAAATAAATTTCAAGGTTTTACATGGGCTTAGAGCATGGGTTCGCGTTTTGTAAATCCAAGGTAATTTCTATTTTGTTTTTGTGCTTAAACTCGAGACAGACCAGCGTAAAATAGAGTTTTCACTATGTTTTTTACATTCTTTATTATTGGAAGAAAAAAAACGAACGCAAACGCCAAGAAAATTATAATTTTCATTACGATTTTAATACAGTTTTTGTATTAGAAGATATACCATATTCGTTATTAGAACAAATTGAACATGTTTTGGGACAAACGGGACACTTTTTGTTACGAAGCTCCACCATACTCAGCATGTGCCCGAGAAAAAAGTGGTTACTAGAGACTTATTGATGTTTTTATACGTCCTTCGGTTCCCCGGATTTAAATATCATTGACAATGTATGGAAATCACTTTCTAGACAGGTTCACGACGGTGGATGGCAATATGTAAAATCACTTCGGGTTTTATCAATGCTGTAGAGGCAGCTAGGATGAACATCACAGACGCATATTTACATCTCCTGCATGGCCCGCGTTCCCTATACAGTTTTTGAATTTATAACGAAGAAAGGGAAACGTGACAAGTATTAATGCACAAAAAATTCAAAATACGAATCATTTGGTCTATTCGTTTTTAGAGTAAAGCTATTTATTTAATGTTACGATTCGTAACATATTACTATTAGGTTGTCCCGAAAGTTTCTTTCGCGTGTTGCACTCAATTGTTTTACGTGGCAGTGTTTACATAAATAAACAATCTAATTTTATAGACATCGATGTTGTAACAGTAACGGAACGAAATGGATCGTGCACAATTCGGTAACGTAACATGAAACATAAAGTATCGCGCATGTATTACTTACAAATAAAGCGAAAGAAACTTTTCGGACAACCTAATAGTATCGGTAAGAATTCTAAATGTTTCAATTTTGGACATTTCGGTTCCGTGCGTTCCTTGGTATACAGGGCGAGTCCGAAGAAACAGAACACCTAAATATCTCCGTTACTTTTCGTTGTGCAATTGTATATTCTATTTTGATAATGAACTTTACTAACGATTGACTTTACTCGCTTCGTTCGCATGCGATGTTTATGTCGGTGTTTATAAATTTGGGTTCCGAATGTTCCCATTCAAGTGCCGACAATCTCGTCAATTTCACGTTTTCAATTTCGCGTACAGAAACGAGCGATGGACACGTGGAAAGTG